ATCTGGTATATTATCAATCGTATAAATTTAATACAGTGTTAGAAAATGAAGACCTGGGTTTTATGGTTTGGGAGAGTTCTGCTAAACACAGTTTGAAGTTGCACTTGTTGCGGCTTGAAATGCAGCCGTTGTATCAAGACGTGAAAATCGGCTGTGATTTAGCGTTAGGTTGTAAACAGAGCGAGGACAATGTCTAAATTATTCATATATTGTAATTACTCAATTATTTTCAATGATCTGTTGTATTGGTAGCATAGATATCTTATACACACTAGATAGTGCATCTAATTATTCTGCAATTCAAAAATTGAAGCCGCGATTGCAGACTCAGGATATTCCCATGAAATGAGAAGACTCTTATGTTTTCTAATTCTTAAACAGGGAACTTAAACATTAAGTTAAACCTATTCCAAATACACTTTCAAACTATTCAAATGATGAAAGTTACTGTTGTTCTTTAAGCGTTTATTAGCGAGTGGGAAACTCCAACATGGCCGCCATCTCTTCAAATGGGGGTAACCGCTGGAATATTCTTGGCTTCAATTTTACTAAAAGAGATGCTCTATCTGGTGCATATAAGATGTCTATGATTGGTAACCGTTGCCGTCCTAAAATTGTAAGGTCTCTATTTAAAAGTAAACTACGCAATATATTTTAATTTTATGGAATGAAATAAAATACTCTCTATAACACCACGTTATATTAATCGATGCAGTTCAATACTACATATTATATAATATTTTTTGCCGTTCCTACATTATGACGTCATAATGTGTATCGGTAACTGAACAGACATCGGCAAAATCGTATCTATATTAGTTAAATGGACTTCGTTTAGTTCAGTGTTCGATAAATTCTTATTAATACAGTATTAACTCTATAATTTCTCGATATTGTCAATGTCGATGGGGAATAGTTCAAACAATTAAACATTTATACGCTGCTCAACCAGAACGGTTGCTTTCTTCGTCTCTTCAGTTGCTTCATGCTACATGGCTAATCTCATTTGTGGCGTAGGCAGCACGACAATTTAGTCTCGCTATGCAAATTGAAAATTATTATCAATATTAATTTATTTAGAAATTGATTATTTTCACAGTCAATGAACACGAGAATATTTGATCGGAAAATCAGGTTGTTAATATAATTCTAAAAGGTTCAGAAATACTTGGTTATGAAGAAAACCAAATCTTGATGCGGATTGTTTATCTCTTTTTCAAACTAAGCGATGCTCCAATCTAAAAATGAACAGAATATTAGAATATAACAACTTATCCTTAAACTTTGACATTCTTTATTGATGAACTATATTCTTTGCTCTATATTCCATTATGTTTCCATACATTTTTTTTAAACACAGTGTTCTCCTAGTAAGTTGACATTATATCCATCGAAGAGCTTAGCATTTGGATAAAATGTTGTGAATAAAATATGTTTATAACAAAAAAATGTGGGCAAACTTAGTAGTCTTCACTCGTAAGCGACCGATCTCTTCGATTAAATGCCAATCAAAAACTGTTGAAGTGCATTGTTATCTAGACATGTTTTGCCTTTTAGTTATTTGTATTACCATGTGCCTCCTAAGCGACGAATAATTTCCGCCTATTTGCCACCTATGTGCCGCCTACGTTCCGCCTTTTTTTTCAGAATTTGCATTGATCCTCTTACCATTTTTGGTTTCCTTTATTTAGGTAGGGAAATACTGAACCAAGAAGAAGAATGATGTTATCAAAGAAGGCAAAAGTCATTCCTGAAAGGTACCATAGCCATCCGTTAAACCGAAAAGAGGATGCAAAATTATCCGAGTATAGTCTAACACCTGAGCAAAGGGAATCTACCTGGAACCAGCTGCACAAGAACTTATTCTCTCATCAAAATCAGGTACTAGGTTATCAAGGAAACCAAAATTTTACCTGCGAAATTGTGAAACCGTTTTTTGACATCGTAATCAACAATGCGGGAGATCCATTCTCAGGACAAACGCAATATGCACTGAACACTAAGGTCATCGAATGTAGCGTGCTGAATTATTTTGCTAAACTCTGGAAAATACATCACGCCGATTCTCCAAACGAGGACGAACGGACATACTGGGGTTATGTTGCGTCCATGGGCTGCACTGAAGGTAATCATCTCGCATTGTATAACGCAAGGGAGTATTTAGCCGGAATGCCTCTCAGTAATCCTATCCTATACAATACGTGTAGTCCACCTGTGAACCCAACTGTTTCGTCCAACGGGGAATGCATAGAAGAATTGTCAAATTCACAACTAAAAGACAATCCTAACGCCTTTACTCCAGTTGTATTTTTATCCGAAGAAGGCTTCCACGGCCTTGCAAAAACAT